TGGAATATTTTGCTCCTGAATATTAGGTTGATGTTCTCTCATGAATTTGTGGTCAAAGAAATGTAGAGTCTGCTTTTTTTATTATTAAAATAGCTTGTTTCATGCATTTTCTATGCATATGCCAAATTTCATCAAAAAATAAGGATAAGCAATTAGTCTAATTAGTGTTATACCAAGTATACCACTTTTTTCAGGTAGCCCTAGGCAAACGGTTTTTTGAGGTGGTTATTTTTAGAAACATATATTAACCTTGACGACTTTTGAAAGAAGAAAGATTTGGCTTGATTTATATAAACTTTTGTGTATTGCTAACATACCTTTTTGTGAAGTATTTTGCTGAGAATTTTGCATGGAAATTTGGCTGATGTTGTAACATAGATTTGTAGTTGAAGAAATGTAGAGTCTGCTTTTTTTATTATTAAAATAGTTTTTTTCATGCATTTTCTATGAACATGCCAAATTTCAACGAAAAATAATTATAAGCAATTAGTCTAATTAGTGTTGGACTTTAGGTACCTAATTTCGATTTTTTTGTTGTTGTTTTTTTTGGTAAGCAAAGTCCGGTAGGCGCCGAAATCCGGATAAGGGGGCGTTTCAACTAAAAATCTTATTTTGAATTATTGTGATATATATTATTAGATTTAAAAAAATATGGCAACATATAGCAAGAGTGTGTTAGATGCCCTAACAGAAAGTAAGTTCAATTTTTTTTTATTCTTAATAATAGTATTAATAACTTTTTAACTCCAAAAAATAATGATTAATGTAAAACCTTTATTGTTTTTTATGTAACATATTAAAAAAGATTAATGTTTAAGATTAAAACTGTTGGTATTCATTGAATAATTCATAGTCACAGTTTTAATTTTTTTAAACACTAAAAATTTTTTTTGTTAGGCTTACACTAATGCAGTATGTAATTTACTCATTTATATGTGGTTTATAATAGCCTATTAAAACTGATTGTCACTTGTTAGATTCAGTTCACAATTTATTAAAACATTACATATAAACAATTTTATTACATACTTCATTACGTTAATCTTAACAAAAAGCTTCTTATTGTTTTTAAAATATAACAAAAGATATCATTATTATTGTCTTTTACCATATTTGGATTATATACTTCTTTATCTATGGATTAGTGTTTAAATCATTATACAAGCATGTCTAATATTTATTTCTTGTTTAGATCCTGCCCAGCTTTTTGTTGATTTTTTGAAGTTTCGTAAGTATAAATCACATAAAGTTTAAATTTAATATTCACTAAGAGATAAAGTATACAATAAGTAAATATTAATAAACATTTATAATATCTTCCTATCTATAGTAAGTCTTAAAAAAACTAGAGTTAATTTTTTTACTTATTGTATATCATCTTTTTATGTGTTTATTGTTTACATAAGTTTATAACAATTCCTAATGTTAACTTGTTGCTTATAAATATATTATCTTTATATTTTAATAGTTATATTTAGTTGTTTATTTTCATTTTTTTAGTATAGTTGTTGCATCTTAAGTAGAAAATCTTTTAACTTTAGTACAGCTTTTAACATTTGTAACTTACTGTTGACAATTTTAAATTATTTTGTGCACAAAGTTTTTGTTATTTTTAGTCGAATCTACACAGCCCATCACTGGTAAGATTTTATCAGTTTGTATATGCTAATGATTATAGAATTAGCTAGTACTTTTTATTCTGTAAATAAATTTGAAAGATTACCCATTTCAAAGTCCTTATTTGCAATATTTGTTTCTTATTACAAATTTTGAATTTAAGTTACATCTTTGTCTTCAACAAATGGTAAATTTAACAATTATTACTTTTTAATATGTGTATATATTTTTGATGACTGCAGTATAAATTTTTTATTAAATAATTCTTAACCTTAGTTCCTTCTACATCTGCTATAAGGGGTATGTTAACTAATTTTTACTTTTCAAAATGTTTATACATATCTTGGCAATTTCAGTAATTATTTTTAATTACAACTTTGATAATATTTAGTTACATCTTCAGCACCTACTATAACTAGTAAGTTTATAAACTATTATTTGCAAATGTTTACTCACCTTTCTTATCAATTGCAAATTTTTATAGAAACTTTTTTTATTTTTAGTTCCATGTGTTCAACCTCCTGCTGGTAAATTTATGATTTAAAAATGTTTTTAAATGATTTTTTAATTTATGTTTATACTTATATACACTATTTAATGCATTAGTATTGTGTTATCCCTCAAAGTGCAGTAAAATAAAATTATTACTCTCATGAACATTTTTTACGCTATCATTGATTAATACGTTGTTCATGTTATTTATTAAGCCTATCACTTTTACAATTAATTGTTTAATATTACATTTTAAAGCAGCACAAAATTGACTACTGTTACATTTGTAACTACATTAACATTTGTTGACAATTTCAAATTATTTTGTGTACAATTTTTTTTTTTTTTTTTAGTCGAATCTACACAGCCCATCACAGGTGAGTTTGTATTAGTTTGTATATGCTAATAATTATAGAATCAGCTAGTACTTTTTGATCTGTGAACAGATTTCAAAGATTACCAGTTTCAAAGTCATTATTTGCAATATATATTTTTTATTACAAATTTTGAATTTTAGCTACATTTACGTGTTCAACGAATGGTAAGTTTAACAATTATTACTTCTTAATATGTGTATATATATTCCTGATGAATGCAATAAAAATTTTTTATTAAATCATTTTTAACCTTAGTTCCTTCTACATCTGCTATTTGTGGTATGTTTACAAGTTTCTACTTTTTAATATGTTTATGCATATCTTGGCAATTACAGTATTTATTTTTAATCACAACTTTGATAATCTTTAGTTACATCTTCTGCGGCTTCTATGACTCGTAAGTTTAAAAACTATTATTTGCAAACATTTACGCACCTTTCTTATCAATTGCAAACTTTATAGAAACTTTTTTTATCTTTAGTTCCAGGTATTCAACCTTCTGCTGGTAAATTTATGATTTAAAAATGTTTCTTGATGATTATTGAATTTATGTTTATATTTATATACACTATTTAATGCATTAGTATTGTGTTATCCCTCAAAGTGCAGCAGAATGAAATTATTACTCTCATTAATATTGTTTAAGTTATAATTGATTAATACGTTGTTCATATTATTTATTCAGCCGATCACTTTTTCAATTAATTGTTTTATATTAAATTTTACATAATGCCATTCAGTACTAATCTATTAACAAATCATTGTCATTTAGAGCTAACCTATCAAGACTACCTATTATATAGGTCCCAGCATCCTGGACCCACCAGCAATAGTTCATTTAAGCGATGGGTCCAGTTAGGAGGAAGGGACCATAATTCTTTTAAATGGCCCTATCATCCTCCTAACAAGGGTGCTGGGAGCCGCAGCAGAAGGGGAGGTGGTCGAGGTGGTGGAAGTGGAGGAAGCAGAGGGAGAAGATGGAATGGTGGCAGCCTAGTGGTTCATGGAGGTTATTACAATTATTAGGCACCACCATTCCTTTTTTTTTTAATATATATTTAATTTCAGCAAGTTTATTTTCCGTTCTTTTCCCAATTTATACAATTATCAACATTTGCATTATATTTTTTCAAATTTTTACCCAAAAAAATTTAAAAGCAAAACATTGTAATAGTCCCAATGAAATACTTTTTACACTTTTAAAAGTTGTATTATATAAATTTGTAAAGTTTACACTATAGATAGATGTGGACCTTTCAATAGAATTAGGTTGTTTTTTTTTTTGAGATTAATTATTTACGTTAAATATAATTTAAAATTTATGTATAATATTTCAAATGTTGATAAATGTGAAGTGTATTTTGCAAACTTATTTACTATTCTTGTTTTAGTTTATTAAAAATGTTTGTTTGACTATATTAATAGTTATTTGATTTTATGTTATTGTACCTTATGTTTACAGTTCCTAAAAATTATATTTGCATTATTGAGGTTGAAATATCAGTTTCTTGTAATCGTAACTTGTCTAAAGAAGGTATGTATGAGTTTTTTAAATTATTTGATATTTTTTAGGTTTATATAATTTAGTACATTTTTTTACATTATTTATAATATTATTAATTTTTTAAAAGTTGTTATATATTATTTGTTTATTATGTATTTATTTGTTTGTGTAGGTAAAGTTTAATTTGTTATATATTTTATATATATACTCTTTGTATATACTTTGTAGAGACATTATGGGTCCAAAAATTATTTTTTCGGATTCAGTAAAAAAAGATTTAGCTATGAACTTCACTTTGCAAGGTGAAGTACATACGCAATGTCAAAACGGGCATATCATCCTCTCATTCACTAATAATGGTGAGTCAATTAGTCGTACTCTTAAACAAGTCAATGAGTTATTTAGCTTAAAAACTAGTAAATGTCGACTTTATAATGCTATTAACATTGCAAAAAAATGGACTACCCATTATGTAAGGGATTGTGCAAAATTTATTAATTTCTGTAATCAGCCCTTTGCATACCATGCATCAAACGTGTCAATGATGCAAGCAATTCATCTTAATCAAAGTAGTTCATTGATTAATGTTTCAGGATCTTCTTTGCTGTCAACAAATGAACATATTGCTGGCTTACCATTAGTTAATGGAGAGCCTTCTTTGCTTGTCAGTTGCTCAGAAAATGAAACAAGAGAGCATGCATCAAGAGAAGAGGTAACCCCAAAGAAAGCCAAACTCAGATGTAGGTTATCTTATTTATCTTCTAAGTTAGCTAGCTCAAGTAAAGAACACAGGATTAAACTAGATCAAGTTCGATTTAAATATAATAGCTTACCATATAAGTTAAAAATATTCAAGAAAAATATCCAAAGAAAAGAAGATATTATTAAAGCTTTGAGGGCAGAAGTTAGAGATCTAAAAAAAACAAATTAAAACTTATTATTACAGTCGGTTAATTCGTAATCTTCAGGCAAAAATAAAGGAGTTGAAAATAAAACAAAAACAAAACTTTATGCAAATAAAAGTTAAACAGAATGCTGATGGTAAGGCTAACAAAATGTTTATTGCTCAATTGGAAAATGACATGTTGCAGATAAAAGAGGGGAAAATGCCATATTTTAATATGACAGAAGATAATAAGAGTTACCCTTTAAAAATGAGGATGATAATTTATGGCATGTTATTAGCTAATGTTCCAACAGGTAACATTCGATTCTTAATTTCAAAAATTGGGCAATATTTAGGTGTTAACTTTACAGATATTCCTCATCGTTCTACTATTGAGCAAATGGCTCGTGAGCTTGGCTGTATAGCAGAACTGCAAGCAGCAGAATGGGCTATGAGTAATTCTCATCTTACTCTTGGATTTGATGCAACAACACAAGAAGGTGTTCATATCAACACAGTTCATCTGACTTCTATAAATAACTGTCAGGTCATTGCGCTGGACCAATTACCAGGTGGAACAGCTGTTGATTATGAAAACCAAATTTGTGTTGCAGTTGATCATTTAGCTTTTATTTATTCAAATTTTCATTCGTTTCCCTTTAATGAATGTCGTAGTAGAATCATATCAAATATATCCAACACAATGTCTGACAGAGTAGCGGTTAACCATTTAACCATTTCCAAAATTTGTAATACCTGGGGGAAGAATTTGAACGAATTAAATTGTCATTTGCATCCTCTAGAAACAATTGCCATTTCATGTCGCGAAACCTTGAAATCTCTAGAACTTGAACCTTGCAAGTTGTTTGGATATGATTGTGTGGCAGTCAAAATTGTGTTAGCAATGAATAAGATGAGGTTTAAAGATGGCAAAGGTGATCTACAAGGTTTTGTAAATTTTTTAGACAATAACCAACTACCGCGAGGTATTATTCCGCGGTATCGTGGAAACCGTCTGCACATTCTTTTCCACACTTGTTTCATTTTTATTAAACACTATACTGCTTTTCTACTTTATCTGACCACTGGAACAATAAAATGTTTCAGCTTGCTACCAATTCTGCTAGAAGCATTTTGTAATAAAACCGCTATAAAACAAATGGGAGTGCTAGCATTATTTAGTAAACTTCTCAGTGGACCATGGATGACTAAGTTTTATGTATCAGCTGATGATGCCAGTTTTGATCATGTCACTGGTATCCAGGTAGTAAAAGATGTTCTAAAAGAAGTTACTAAGTGCAAGTCTGATCCAGCTGCACTATTTTGCAGAGAAATTGATTTTTTTGGAACAACGCTTGCCCCAGATATTTTACAATCTATTACAACTTTATGCCCCATTGATGACGAACTTTTAAAAATGACTTCAGCTTGTCTTAATGCAGTTGATGAAGTATTGACTCGTCAATATAAAAGATATTTCTCCCTTTCTATTACAGCAGCACTCAAAAAGGAGACAGCAAGTGCAAGGCTTCACAATATAGACAGCGAAGAATTAATGGGTATGTTTAGTGATGCCAAAGGACGATGCCCTAATGCAACAATTTGTTATATATCTAGCAAATTAAGATCTAAAAAGAATAGGACGATCGATTACCTTGATAATCTGGATGAGTTGTCTAGAGAAAAAGTAGTTAAATGGTCTATTTGCATAGCCGGTAAAAAAAGAATGAAAACACGACTACTACATAATGAAATTAGAGCAGAGATTACTGGTAGACTGGGTTGTAAACGCCAAAAAATGGACGAAAAACAAAAAAGAAAGTTAGAGCGTGAGCTTTGTATTTTAACTACCAGTGAAATGATGCATAAATATAAACACTTATCTGCAAAACAACTTGAAGATTTAGATGATGTTATGTCAGAGAGAATTGTTGGCAGAAAACTTGGTCATGAGTGGTATGATGCTGACAATTCAAAATCTGTCATTTATGATGGTAGAGTCGAAAAGGTGAAAATGAGATTACAAGAAAGAATTTACACTATTTCTTACTGGAAAAAAGATGAGACAGATATGGAAGCTGTTGAATATATGATGAAAAAAATACAACTTGCTGCTGATGTTATAACAGGAGAATTAATATTTTCTTAAATGGAATATAAATATTATTGGTATGCTACTTTATTTTTAATTTTGATAATGTCAAGTCAATGTTAAGTATGTAGAATATATTTAAAATATAGTATACATTATATATATATATATATATATATATATATATATATATATATATATATATATATATATATATATATATATATATATATATATATATATATATATATATATATATATACTAGGTTGGTTGAAAAGTTCGCGGAGCGGCACCTATGTTGCAGTAGTAGAAACAAATTTATAACTGTATTAAACGTATTCATTCTTCGTATGAACGCATAAAAAATTTCAAGTCGATATGTCATTTCAGTCTTTGTTTACAAGCTATTGAAATTAGACGTGTCATAGTATTTTTTAAAATGGAAAATATTGAACATCGTGCTGTAATAAAATTCTTTGTGAAAAAAGGTTTAAAGCCCATGGAAATTCATAATGAAATGGTAAATGTGTTGGGTGATGATGCTCCTTCAAAAACAACAGTATGCAAATGGGCTGCGGAGTTTCAACGTGGGCGTTCAAGCCTTGAAGATGACCCTCGCTCTGGACGTCCAAAAAGTGCTACTACTGAAGAAACGATTAATGCTGTGCATGACATGGTTATGGATGATAGACGATTGACCAAACGTGAAATTGCTGAGGCTGTGGGCATCTCAGATGAACGGGTATTACACATCTTGCACGATGAATTACGTCTGAGAAAGCTGTTGGCAAGATGGGTGCCGCATTCGCTAACTCTGGATCAGAAACGCACTCGAGTAAAACTTTCTCAAGAACATTTGGCCCGTTTTCAAAAGAATAAAACAGATTTTGTGCGTCGATTCGTAACCATGGATGAGACTTGGGTTTACCACTATGATCCGAAGCTGCGACAACAAACTGCAGATGGACAGAACCCGGTTGTTCAGCTCCGAAGCAAGTGAAGGCGTCAAAATCGTCAAAGAAGGTTATGGCATCAGTTTTTTGGGATGCGAAAGGAATTTTATTAATAGATTACCTTCAAACCGGTAAAACGATAACAGGTGAATATTATAAAAATCTTTTGGACCAGTTGGATAAAAAAATTCGTGAGAAAAGACCTGGTTTGCTGCATAAAAAAATCATTTATCACCAGGACAACGCACCTGCTCATATCAGCGATGTTGCAAAGGCGAAATTGGTCGAATTAAAGTACGAACGCTTGGAACATCCACCCTATTCACCAGATCTGGCTCCGTCCGACTTCCACCTCTTTCCACATCTCAAAAAATTTCTACGTGGAAAGCGTTTCTCATCACATGAAGAAGTCATTGCAGCCGTAAATGGGTATTTTGAAGGCCTTCCGGAATCGCACTTCAGAGATGGGATACATGAATTGGAGAATCGTTGGAAAAAGTGTATTGCTCTTAAGGGAGAATATACTGAAGAATAAAGTCATTTTTTGAATCATAAAATTGTTTTTTCATTTCCGCTCCGCGAACTTTTCAACCAACCTAGTATAGTATATTCTATAAATTATGTATAAAGTATTGAGTATATATTTTTTTAACTTGCAAATATGGTACAGCAAGTTTTGTAGCTTGCAAAAAGAGTACCGCGAGTTTTTTAACTTGCAAATATGGTACAGCAAGTTTTGTAGCTTGCAAAAAGAGTACCGCGAGTTTTTTAACTTGCAAATATGGTACAGCAAGTTTTGTAGCTTGCAAAAAGAGTACCGCGAGTTTTTTAACTTGCAAATATGGTACAGCAAGTTTTGTAGCTTGCAAAAAGAGTACCGCGAGTTTTTTAACTTGCAAATATGGTACAGCAAGTTTTGTAGCTTGCAAAAAGAGTACCGCGAGTTTTTTAACTTGCAAATATGGTACAGCAAGGTTTGTAGCTTGCAAAATATTTTTGATAGACGGCTCTGGCTTACCTTCACGTGGTGTCTATTGTTAAAAATGATTAATTTAGTTTCCTTCTTGGAATTTTAAACAATATCATTTACTAAAAGCCAAGACTTAAATTTATTATATTTTGTATTTTGAAACTTTTTAAAATATAAGTTTTAAAATTAGTTTTATCTTTGGCCTATTTTTAGGGTGGATACTCCAACTTGCATTTTGTAATGTGGTAAGATTAGGAAAGTTATGTCTCTTTAAATGAACATAATTTAAAAACATTTACAAAATTTTTATTGACATTTTTTGCAAGTTTGAATGAGAAGGGGAGGGGGGCGTTGGGTGTAGCACACATTCCTACCTGTACTAACATATTATAATAATCTTGAATACTTGTTTCTCTTTTCCAATAAACTTAATTTAAAACTATTTTTCAAATATCTTTTAAAATTTTTTTTTTAGGTTGGATACAACTGGGCAGGAAGGGGGGCGTTTGGCGTGGCACATGTCCCGTCCCTTATGTCAACTTATACACCACTTGTATATGCTGTAAAGTAAGAAAATTTAATTTAAAATTTTTCATACAAAATATAATCATTGTTTTTTAGGTTCAAATATTTATAACAATGTAGCATTTCACTACGAGGGTGTTAAAACGTAACAAAGACATCAACACTTCAATCTAAAATAGACCACTAATATTTGGAAATGGATTGGAAGCAAATTGGAACAATTTTTTGTGTATAAAGATGACATATTTTATCAGAAAAACACTCTTTCGTGTGAAAAACTTGTCTTTTTTTAAGGGTACGAGGGTGTTCCGGTACCCCCTCCGGTCCTCTAGACGCCCCTTTCATCTATAGAGTTATATGAACTTGTAGCCTACTCTTACATCTATCTTTTGATGCCAAGGTATAGACATTTGGATAAGATTTGACAAAGTTATAACAATTTTAGTGGGAAAAAAAATAATTTTGGAACCAGTTTCTTCAATAAATCCATATATCGAAAATTTGCTACTAAAAACGCTATAACTTTTTATAGAATTGTCCGATTTTCATAATTTTTTCACCATTAAAATACTGTATTAAAGGGCTTTCTAATGATATATAATATTCTAGTATTTAATTAATTTAAAAAAATCAGTCCACGTACCTATATAAATATATATATATATATATATATATATATATATATATATATATATATATATATATATATATTTACATATAGTATATTTAAATCATTTTCAACTTATCATAAATTTAATGTTTACATAAGTCTTATGTTTACATGAAATTATACTAAAATTATAAAAAACACTATACTATAAAATTTTGAAACATTAATCTTATTTCATGAAAGCATGAGTTTAAAATAATTTAGATATATTATATGTTTATATGTTTAAAATTTATGAAATAACATACTTCAAAATATTTTAACCCTAAAACCTAACCCTAAGTCTAAACCAGCTATAGTACTTAGATTATGGGTATATCTGTTACATAAGTAAATAATTTACAGATATTACATATTAAACCTTTCTTGCATAGTAGTTTAATATGCAGTTGGCTAAGTTTTATGATTTTTTTTCCAGATAGTTAATATACACTGAATAGTTAAATCTTGTTATAGTAAGCCTAGACCTATATAGTAATTGAGATTATAACATAGGTGGAAGCACTAAAAAGTCAAAAACTCTTAATATGATTTGGTCTATTTCCCCACAACTTTTGTGGCAATGTTCTCTGTTTAAGATTATAAATAATGCTGTGTATTTTAATAAAAACGTTTTCTAGCTTGCATTAATTTTACATTAATTTTTCTCATTTCTTTTTTAAGGTGCAAAAAAAAGTGTTTGGAGAACTTTGAAGAGGCTAACTGTGTGGATATCTTTTCCAAATTTTATGATATAAATAGCAAAGAAAAATAAGATTTTTTTATTCAAGGATTAATAGATGTCACTAAAGTTAAAAGAAGAGTGCCACATCAAAAGGATCTTGAAAACCCGAAGCAGCCAAATAGCTTCTCCTATCATGTGATTTTAGGCAATGTACGCATAGAGATATGTTGCAGTGCACTTTTATCTGTCTTAAATATTAGTGAAAAACGATTATGGAGAATAAGGAACCTTAAGGTTATTGGAATAAACCCTGAAGATAAAAGAGGTAGAGGTATTACTAATTGTCTTTCTCAGAATGTTCATGACATTGTTAGTAATCACATAAGATCATTTCCACTCAAGGAATCACATTACTCAGGGAAAAAAGTATATTACCTCAATGCAAGTTTAAATGTAAAAACAATGTGGCAACTTTTTTGTTAAAAAAAATCCAGATTTAAAAGTGAGCAAGACTTTTTACTTGAACCATTTTAAAACTAATTTTAACTTATGATTTGGGCGCCCACAAGTAGATACTTGTTGCACGTGTGAAGAATTAAATCTTAGATTAAAATCACCACATCTCAATAATGTAGCTAAAAAAGCAGCGCAGACTGATTTAGATGTTCATAAGCACAGGAGTAATAAATTTTTCAATGCTTTAAAACATGAAACATCGGAAAATAGCTTAAATCAGGAGCACATTCTATCATTGGTATTTGACTATGTGAAGACGATAAGCTTGCTAAAAATACCTGTCCAACAACTTTATTATATGAGACAGCTATCAGTCAATATTTTTTCTATATATAACATTAAAGAAGAAAAAAGTCATGTATATATATACCATGAAGGTCAAGGAAGAAAAGGGTCTAATGAAGTTGCAACTTTTTTAAATGATTATTTGATCTCAGTTCCATCAAAGTATAATACATTACGTTTGTTTTGTGACAACTGTAGTGGACAAAATAAAAATCAGACCTTATCACGTTTTTGTTTATACTTAACTGACAGTGGTAGGTTTGATAAAGTTGAACAGTTCTTCCCAATAAGAGGACATAGTTTCCTCCCTTGCGATAGGGACTTTGGTATAATTTCAAGTGTTTTAAAAACACATTACCGTCTTTATCACATGCATCAACTCACCGAGCTTATTATTAGCAGCTCCAGATCACAAAAGTTTACGGTGAAAGAAATTGTAGATGGAACTGAATTTTTTAATTTTAAAGCTTGGAGTTCAAAACATTACAAAAAATCTTGTATTTCTTTAGAAACCAAGGGTAAAAATACCTTAAAAGAAAAGAAGGTTCGCTTTTCAATTAGTAACTTGTTTCATTTTGTATATGAGCATGATAAAAAAGGCTACATTAAGGCATTCACCAATATTAATGGTTTGGTCTGTCATTTTACTTTTTTTATGTCCAAACATATGGGTACTGTAGCACAGGTGGATAGTTTAGCTTATCCAAGTGGCAAAGTTACACTGAAAAAAGCCAAGGTGGAAGACCTTAACAAATTAAAAGAATTCATTCCTGAAGAATTCAACGAGTTTTATAACGAGCTGTACTCCTGGCCAACTAATGAATGTGAGATTCTCCCTGATAGTGACTTTGAGGAAGAATTAGATTAATATGCTGAGACTTAATGCTTACTGATAGCTTTTTTTGTTATTAATTCATATCTATATATATATATATATATATATATATATATATATATATATATATATATATATATATATATATATATATATATATTATATATATATATATATGTATGTATAATATTTATTACTGGCACATTAAAATAATGTTTTAAAGTACATAGCTGTAGTTCTTACGGAGTTTTAATTTGTTTTCCTTCCTGAAATATTCGATTTTTTTTAAAAGGGGCGAATTTTTGGAACTTTCATACATTAATTATTAACAAACGAAATGTTATAACAATTATCAAAGTGTACTAAGATGTTACTCTTGCATATATATTTTAAAAATATATTACACAAGTTCTGTATATTTAATATTAAAAGATATAAAGAGTTTTTTTCAGTTTTCTCAAAAACGGGTTTTGAGCAAATCAGCCCTTTTAAAAAACACTGATTCAGTTGTTTTAAATGGTTGTCACGATTGTTTTAAATCGATGTAAAAACCGGTATATATGGGCAATTCCACGGCGGAAAATCAAAAAAAAAAATTTATTCCATTTTTTCGTCAACTTTTAGCAAATGAATATTGTTGTAGACACATGAAAGGTTATTAAAAATGTACCACTAAAATGTAGCCCTAAAATTAATTTTTTAATTTTTAAAGTCATTTAAAATGTTATTTTAACCATGAACTTATTTGCATAATCGGAATTAATTTAGCGTGAAAATGGAGCTAACATGTTTAAACTGTTTAAACGTTCCTAGTAGTACCGCGCTCAACTCGTTTCTCCGCGCAGCGGCCTTGTTTGTCAAGGTTCGTGTTTCGGAGTTATAGAGTTGAGAGAGGGTTATAACCACAAATAAGTAGCCTCCTCCTCTGTAGTGGCCTTCTCGGCCTTGAGGAGGTGAATTAAAATAAAAAAAAAAAAAGGCAAATATAGATGTCGCGCGTGTAAAGAAAGTTAAAAATCGAATTGTCCATATATATATATATATATATATATATATATATATATATATATATATATATATATATATATATATATATATATATATATATATATATATATATATATATATATATATATATATATATATATATATATATATATATATATATATATATATATATATATATATATGGACAATTCCGCGAGAGTGGCGGTCGTAACATTTGACACTCTGTAAGTTATTAAAAACGGAAATGACTTGAAACTTTCTAGAAATGTGAAAAACTATCATATAACTTTGTATGTAAAAGTTGCAGCAATAAAGTCTTCAACTTTTTTCAAAATTTAACTCTAAGTAGCGTGACGGTCGTAACAATTACTTTTTACCACTTCTGAACGTCTTATTAAGTAATTCTTATTTCGTCATGTTGGTTTGACAAAGTTTTTAACTAAAACTTTTTATTTTAAGAGAATTTAGAAAAAAAAATCCTTTATTTTTTTTTTTTTAATGTTAATTAAAATTATTTATATTATTATTTTTTATTTGTTTATGTATTCTTATTTTGGTTGACATAAATGTACATAAATATGTAAAAATTAGAACTATATAAACGCTTAAAAAACGACAATTCCCAAAATTAAAGTGTTTGTTTTTTCGTTCCAAAATTTGAATGCTAAAATATTAAACTAAATCGTTAAATCGATTAAAACGTTAGATTAAATCTAGGGGTGAAACGGATTGGAAATTTTTAATTCCGCCCAGAACCAGATTTGCCGCAATTGTTGATTACATGCACATTTTTATTTAGACATTAAAAAAAAAAAAAAGATTTATTTGCTATTTTTCTAATATAAAAAAATCAGTTAGAACCTTTTTATTTTTGTTTTAGTAAAACAAATCGTTTGTAAATGCAATGCAACAAATCGTTTGTAAATGTAATGCAATTAAAGGAGGGGGGTGGTTGGTGGTCCATAAAGCACGTTACCCTATATTTGTCAATTCTTAACTCTCCTGTCACAAACAATCACATATACCTGAGCCCCCTAAACTGTGATGGCAGTTTAAAAAAATATTGAAAGATTTAAATGTTAATACTTTGCTGCATTTTAAAAAGTCAACCTAATGAAAATACCGAATAATCGGTATTTTCTTAATTAAATGACTCAAGTAAGTATTAATAAAGTTATATAATACTGAAGTAATTTTTTTAAGTTGCTCTTGGTCTTGCGTGAATATATTTTCAATTTGATTACTTTTATAAATGTTACGAAAAATCACTCAGGAAGAGTGCCACCAGTTTTTTAAAATTTCCTTTGTTAATTATTTTTAATGAATGAATTCAATGCGTACGCATTGTTTTGATATGTTACTCTAACTCTTAATAATAGATTTAAAAAATCCACGATAATAACAAGACTGCAAGCAACCACTAATTAGTGTCGGAAGTTACTGGAAGAGAAAAGATGAAGATTGTAGAGCAAGATAACGATTGACAGACGACTTAAAAGATTGCAAGTTATATGAATCAGGAAAGCAAGATGAAGGAAGCGAATTCCAAAGAACTGATGTTCGAGGAAAAAAACTAGACGAATAAGAGTTTTTGGAGCACTTAGGAACAGTAACAGAAAAAGGATGAGACTTAATTGAATGACGAGTAACACGAGAATGAATTTTAGTAGATGGCACAAGAGACGCTAGCTCCTTCGAGCAGTGCCCATTATAGTATTTGTAAAAAAGAGAAAGAGAAACAACATTACGACGATGTGACAGAGGTTGAAGGTTGGCTGCATAAGCAGGTCCAGCTATGTTTACAATGCCTTTTTGCACCTTGTCTAAAAAAGAAAGGGCATCATTTGAAGATCCGCCCCAGAAATGGCAACAGTATTCAATACAAGGCCGGATTTGAGATTTATAGAGATAGAGAATAGAATCCAGAGTAAGAACGTGACGAGCTCGAAAAAGAGAAGCAACCTTAGCAGATGCTAATTTTGCAACGGATTTGATATAAGTTTTCCAAAAAAGATCAGAAGTAAGAGTTAATCCTAGAAGATAAAGGGTAAGAGACTCATCGAGTACATTACCGTTCATAAATATAGGAAGGTCTAAATTATTGCGATAACGATTGGCCGAAAAAAGTTATGCTTTATCTGAATTAAAGTTTACCAGCCACTGTGAGCCCCATGCTGTAGCAAAAGTGAGATCTTTTTCAAGCTTAGATGCCCCCTGCAAGCAATCAGAGGGAGTAAGCTTCTTATTGTGACAAGAATAAATGGTAGTATCATCAGCGAACAATGCCACCTTAGATGTGAGAATATCTGGAAGATTGTTAATGTAAATTAAAAAGAGTATAGGGCCAAGGATTGAGCCTTGGGGAACCCCTGAGATTACAGAATAAGAAAAAGAGTGCTGTCCATCAAGGACAACTTTTATACTACGATTGGAAAGAAAGGATTCCATAATCTTAAAGATGTTTCCAGATACACCGTAAGAAAAAAGCTTATAGAGGAGACCAGCATGCCAAACTTTATCAAACGCTTTAGATATGTCAAGAGCAATGGCCTTAACCTCTCCACCTTGATCTAATGCGCGATAAAACCTATCGGTTATTACTGATAGCAAATCAGCCGTAAAACGAGAGGATCGAAAGCCATATTAAGATCAGAAAGTAGGTTATGAGATTCGAGATGAGAGATTAAGTGTTTGTTAATTAAAGATTCAAAAACCTTGCTTATGATAGGAAGAAGACTAATGGGACGGTAGTTAGATGAATCAGATCGCTCTCCAGAATTTTTAAAAATAGGGATAACAGATGCTGCTTTCCAGCAGGCTGGAAAACAAGACTCTGATAAGCACTTGTTGAATAGTTTTGAAAGGATAGACGACAGCTCCGGAGAACACTTTTGCAAGACTATAACAGTTATGTTGTCCGGGCCGCAAGTTGTAGAAGAGTCTAAGCGGGAAATCACTTTAGATACAGAAGCTGGAGAGATATGAATGTCGAGCAATGGATCAACCTGTTTGACGGCTATATCAGGTAGAACGAAACTAGTGGCATCAAGAGATGATATTGATGAAAAGTTCTTGGCAAATAATTCAGCTTTGTCTTTAGGTGAGATGACAAAGTCTGAATCATGCAAAAGAGGTGGAATTAGAGACTTGCCCTTATTATTGATACTATTAAAGATTCTCCAGTAGTCACAAGACCCTAATTTTTGTGATGAAATACGAGATTTCATGATCTGAGAATAGCGGGCTTTGGCGTTAGACAAAACCTTTTTACAATTGTTCCTAGCAGTAATAAACAGACGTCTGTTTTCTGGAGAATTGTTTTGCTGATAGATATGGAAGTAATGGTTTCGATTGGCAATTGCAGCAGCACAATGTGAGGAAAACCATGGAGAAGAGTGAGGCTTGACCTGGAATCGTCGAGAGGGAATAAAGGATTCCATGCCAGCTTGAATCCAAAAAGTTATATAAGAAGCACATTTGTCAACAGGGAGACGAAAGATTTCTACCCAGGGGCCATCACGAAGAAAATCACGGAAAGAGTTCCAGTCAGCTTTAAGGTAGTGGTAAGATGTACGATGATAGGGGGATTCTGATGGTAAAGAAGAATGAGATAATAGTTTTAGAGAGACCAAACCATGATCAGACGCACCTAAGGGTGAGTGTGAAGAAACTGAGCACTGACTAGGATCAGAAACAAGACATAAGTCGAGTAGAGAAGGTAAATGATTCGGGTTGTCTGGAAAGCGAGTTGGAAAGTTGACTATTTGAGTTAAGGATTGAGAAAGAAAAAAGTTGTGGGCCTTAATGCCTGCAGAGTCACTGACACCAGAGCCAAGCCATTCAGTGTGATGAACATTAAAGTCACGGACAACAACAATATTGGCTGATGGATAAAGAATGAGGGCTTGGTCAATATAATCAGAAATAACATCAAAAAGAGTGCAGTCTTGAGATGAGG